ATTTTCTGAACTGGCCCAGATATTCTCCAATGTTTTCATAATTTTTATACAGACTTCTATTAAAATGGATTACAGTAAATGCTCCATCCATATTTAGACATTTAAATTGATCATCAGTGTAATATTCACAGTTATTGATAACATGATTATGGAGGTTACTATCTGGATCTATAATATTTAGGGCTGTCAAACGATTTTTTTTTTTTAGTTGATTAATCGCATAGTAATGATGAGTTAACTCACAATTAATCGCATTTTTAACATTCTATTTCAAATCCACCCCAATTGAAGTTAAATGAGATTTTCAAATGTAATGACACATTGTTATTCTTACCAAATGTACTTAAATCTGTTTGACTTGCTCATAACCTTCTACTTTTGGGTACAACCAACAAGAGCTGTTAATGAAAGGAAAAATGTAGGTACCCCAGCTTTAATTTTGCGAGTTTTGGTTGCATTTTGTGTCTCCTCCTCTCCTCCATCATCAGAGAACATCAGAGAATGGCCCTGTGCGTGTGTGTATATGTGTGTATTATATGACCACGTTACCGCTGTCACCATCACACACACGCACGTGTCCGCGGCATTCTGAGTGATATTATTATAAATGGGCGGGTCATTCGGACATGCGATTGACTGCCAGCCTATTTCAGAACAGGTACCCACAGAATATTGTGTACTATGACTATCTGAAATCCAAAACCAGATTCTGAAAGAATGGACTGTCTACTTTCATCAGCAAAAATAATTTTGTTTCTAGCTTGTTTCGTTCCCCTGTAATCCCCAGTCGAGTAGAGGGAAGTTTTATTGAAATCACCAGAAAGCTGAGAAAAAAGAGGCACTTGTGCATCTAACTGTTTTCAAACCATTCATAGAGCAATGCTGCCATCTGCTGGCTCGATAAAATATTGCCTCAAGCCTTACATGTTTGATACAACAGACATCTGGGAACGTGAAAATAGCGGGAATGGCAGTTAATGCGTTAATTATTTTTTAACGCGTTAATGAAAACGGTAATTAAAGTGAATTAACGCGATAATTTTGACAGCCCTAATAATATTACAATAATCATTCATTCTATAATTGCTGTGTTTCGTCGAGCATAGCGTTGAGCATGTCTATATGAAATGTAAGATTCACTGCTAATCTAATCCATAATACTACATTCTAATTCATTATCATCAACATTAGTAATTATAGATTTTGATTCATGACCATTTACCATTTTATTACAGACAGACACACACAGACACACACACACAGACACACACACACAGACACACACACAGACAATAGACTCCCAATCCCACTGCTTCCCAAGTCCATAAAAAATAAGTCCATAGTGCTGCAATGTAGACAGCAACAACAAAAATCTGAGTGTTCAAAATATAATAAAAAAATAAAAAATAAGCTCATCAAGAAGAAAAAAAGTAATTGCAACAGTCACTCATCAAAAAGAAAAATGAAATGATTATCTGAACTGATCAAGGTCTCCAAGTTCTCTTACCAGCAGCACCCTCGTTTGCTCCGGGTAAGATCCATTTAGTTGTACGAATACCTTGCAGTTTCTTGTCCATGTTGCTCTAATCTAGTTGCTTTTCTTAATTTAAACTTTTTTAACAAATAAAAAACTGAAAAGTGGCGCGTGCAATATTATTCGGCCCCTTTACTTTCAGTGCAGCAAACTCAGTCCAGAAGTACAGTGAGGATCTTTGAATGATCCAATGTTGTCCTAAATGACTGATGATGATAAATGTTTTTATTTTATTTTATTTATTTATTTGTTTCAATTGTGGACAAAAACAATACTACACATATTACAAATACATTTCAAATAATTGTCGCACAAATGAAAAGGAGCAGAAAGAAGAAAAAAAAATCTTATGTTGCCTGCCCTTTTCTTCATACAGTAGGTCCCATTCCGTTTTGTCGCCTTTCACGCGTGAATCACACGTGAGTCTCGTGTGATTCACGCGTCTTTTATTTTCCCCCCTCCCAGTGACGTTGCAATGACCAAAACAACCACCAGGTGGCACTTGTGAGCAGGGTTACATTGGCCAGTCTCTGGAATAACCCGCAGACATTAAAACTACTGCACACTGAGAAAAGTGTTGCAAGCGCAACTTTGAACCTAAGTACTTGTATTTGCAATTTCGGACTTAAAATTTATTCTTATGGTTTTAATATTAGAAAAATAATTTCCATTTACTAAAACAAAAACAATATACCCACAAATACGTTTTGTGTGTGTATTTAACTAAATTTTGAAAAAATATTGTTGGCAGTGCAGTGCTTCTTAAATCTGACGCTATCAATAAGTGTTCAGACAAAGTAATTTCTACTGGGCGGGAGTTTGCTTCCGGTTCGGACCGTTTCCGTGAGCTTGTTGTTGGTGATGGGCGCTGAGCCAGCCTTGGACACGGTCGTGTGGTTTCCCGTGAGATCCAACTCAAAGTAAGATTTTTTAAATATATGGTGCTTTCTCTGTAAGGTTTGTCGCGTATTTGATCAAATATATACAATCTGTGGTCAAATCGTCGTTTTATTTTCTTGGCAGTTCGTGTCCAAAATTACTTCATGTTAACTGTCTACTCTAGCCCCAAACATGTTGTTAGCATAAAACTGTGCCAGTATAATGGTCCTACAATTTCGTTGTTTAGCAAAGTGATTTGTGTTAAGACTCGTAACATTACCAACAACCCCTTAAATGTTCTGAACCATAATAACAGGCGTAGTTTTCGCAGTTTGGAGCTGCTAGCTTCTAGCTAGCTGTTGCTAACGGTACGCAGCTAACATAAGTAATACATAAGTAACCAAAGTCGCTACTGTCCTGCTCTGTCTTGTTGCCGGAGGTGCAAGTGGAAAATACAGTTGGCAACAGAAGCCACGTGACATTTATTAATCTTCTATTATTTTCTACTCTTGGGGACAGTTCATTTCCCCGCAGAAGTCCCTAGTTACATTAGCTCAGCGGAGCGACTCTCAAGGAGGAGACAGGTGCAGAGCATGGTGCGGAGGCAGAAAACATGTTTATTGCTATCTGAGATCGCTCTGATTTCCTCGCGGTCAGAAAGTAGCTTGTTTCAGCAGAAAACTAACGTTAAGTTAACAGCTACTGCATGTTGTTAATGTTATGACCCGTCCGCATCAGCATCACTGTATTATATCAAGGCCTGTCTGTTTTAGCCAATGTGCAGCTATATGGTTAGTTATGATAAGTTCAAATACATTCAGAAATCTGCAGCACATTTAAAAAACCCAAACAAAGTATAAGTGATACATTATAAACATGCATTTTTAAAAGAACATACTGAGGGTGACTGCTATAGCCTATTGCAGTCACAAAATTAGAGTGGAAATGCTAAAAATCTAATGTGACTTACATTCGCATTTCATATGAACAACATTTTGGCATGTTAATTTTGAAATAAACGATATTTTGCTGGACAAGTAGGTTTTGTTTCCGGGCAAGTAAAAAATACCTGCCACTTCAAGTACCTCAAAGCACTTAATGTCAAGTCCTGACAAGGTAATACATTCAGCTAAAGACAGGTACATGTTGTGGTATAGCATGTTTTTTGTGGAATCACGTGTAGTAACACAAAATGCACAAAGCACTTTGTTTGTACTAATCTAATGCATTTTTTATATGTAAAAAGCAGCACCGCCTGTTTAAATGCTTATGATATTTGTCCAATGAAGAGTATTTTTAAGCATGTTTATTAATTTTATTTTATTTTATTTTAGATTTTTCCTTTCACTGCTGCCAATTGATGGAGGAAAGCTACAGCAGGAGGTAAGTGTGATACAAAAAGAACTGTTAATAAATTAAGTGAATGTAATGTACTCGCTAGGGATGCAATAGTTTTTTGGGGGGGGGGCATTATACATTATACATTACACTCACCGCAAGATTTGCGGTGAGTCCTTGGCAACAAGAGAGGAGATTTTCCATCATTTGTCATTATATACGTTTTTATATCTAAATGAACACAATCAGAAATATGAAAACATATTCAAGATAAGAAGTGCTGAATACTTCCTAATTCGTGGTGTTTTTTATTTCTATGTTGTTTCGTAGGATCCAACCGCTGCTATAGAAAAGAGGAGGGAAGTCGTAATCCGAGGCCTAATTGAATACATGGGGGAGAAGCCAGGAGACTTGATTTCAGATCTACAGGTAAAATTTCCAATCTTTTCTTTTTCAGGGTATAAAAAAAGTACCGTACCTTATGCTGATATGTCTATCATTAAGAGTAGTAGTATCACCAAATCCTCTTCATCCTCTGCATATGCTAAAAGTCAGCATATGCAGATTATTTAAAAAACATTTTGGTCTCATTTGACCATAGAATAATCTACAATCATGTAGAAAAGGTTAAATCATCTACTGGATGATTTATACTGGGAAAGGGTATGTATTTAGCGTATAATTAACAGATAATATAGATCTAATCCATGTAATAAAAAAAATGTCATAGGAATGGGGAAGAAAATAGATGGACTGGCAAAGAAAAAGATCACTCAGGATGTGGGCCAATGGAGGAAGAGCGTGGTGAATCACCTCTACTGGTCAGCCTCTACTTCCTCCTCAGGAGAAGAAGCTGTGGCCAAGTGGACCTCTGTAGCCAACCACATACAAAATATTCACGCGCATGATAATGCCCTGTTCCCCTGCTGCCAACACGAGCCACTGGTTGGGGAAAGAGCAAGGGAGTGGCTCAAGCCAAGTTAGTAATGACAGTTTTTCTTTGATTATATATTTAGTTATCTTGGACATTTTGCATTTTCTTTCTAATCCAAAATACATTTCCATTGATCATTTTGTGTGTGTAGGCACAGCAGCATGCGAAAGACTAACGGCCATTTTACTGGCGCCGAGGTTTCTGAAGGACGTGGAGAAAATCAGCCCACTTTACCACACGTCCTACATTGAGGCATTTCACAGCCTCATCATCAGGTTCTCTCCGAAAAGTGTGTGCTTCTCCTTTAAAGGAATGATGGCCAGGTAATGAATACCAAAACCTTGTAAAAGTATTTATTTCTATTCCCTCATTATATATTTTTTTGAAACTGAACCAAATAACATCACTGTTTTCTTATTTTTGTTTTGATTGTTCTAGGTTACAAATCTCAGCGTTGCACTATAATGAGAACGCGACACGCACACACGCCAGAACTGCTGCTGGTGAGCTGAGGTACTCCATAGTGTATCCTAAATATAAACATGGCGACTATACTGTGAGAGCTCTGAAGACCAAATTCACCACATGTATGTCATGAAAGAAACTTGACTGTTATGAATGAGGGCTGTTATAATATTTATGTTGTATTTTTTCCCCAGTCTACATTGATAAGCTGATGAGTCTGCTGTTCGAGTGTGTGGTGCAGGATACAGTGCCGTATCAAGAGCACTCGGACAAAATACATGTGCCTGAACCACTCTGTGGCCAGTATGAAAGGCCTGACAAAAAGGAGGCAGTGAGCAGGCACAGGTCACGATTTTTCAAGAGCAAATAAGGTGAAAAACAAACACCAGAAGATCACATACAACAAGAATATCCAGAATATAAATATATGGGGTCACTAACTTATTTTGCATGACTGATAGTGTTATAATGTACACATTCTATTGTTCATATGTTTATTCACTGAACACTATGCAAGATTATCATCGTTCTATTATAGCTTTTTTCTGACATGCCTGCATGCCAATAAGAACTAAAATATTTTCAGAAAGCAGACATGAGTCAGCCAGGACACATATCTAACTATGAACCAGAGGTGTGGGAAGACAGGATGGACCTCACTCTCAGGTACCGCCAACATTGATGATAATGTAGTGTTGATCAATTTTTGTAATACATTTAATTGCTGTATTGCACACTAGATACATATTGAATGCAAATTGTCACATTTATATAGCACCTTTTCTACTTTCTTTAAGAACTTTACATCGAGGAACCAGTCACCAATCCATACACCAGTGAATGCAGACAATGGAGGCAAAGAGGGTGAAGTGTCTTGCCCAAGGACAGTGTGCACCTGCGTGATTTGAGCCGCCAATTCTCCAATCACAAGATGACCAGCTCTACTCTGCACCACTGTAGCCGCAAAATGTATACAAGTGTAGATTGTGAATATAGATTTGTTAGTAATGTAGGGGTAAAGTGATTTTTTTGGGGAATTGGTTGCTTTCAGGTTCTGAAATGTGATTGTCACAGGGTCTAGTGGGTATTTCCTATAAACAGCATTACTTTCAAAAGTCATATCTAAAAAATAATCAATATAATTTCAAACATAATCAGTCACTGGGTCCATGATCTCTCTGTACAAGACCAACACTTCCTCATTACTATATAATCCTATAGGCCTTTAGCTGTGATGTCACCTGACACTGGGTCCAGGGAGTGTGGCGTTCATGCTTTTGCTGTGACAGTGCCTAAACTTGCTCTCAGTCCATCCATCCATCCATTTTCTTCCGCTTTATCCGTTGCCGGGTCGCGGGGGCAGCAGTCTAAGCAGAGACGCCCAGACTTCCCTATCCACACACACTTCCTCCAGCTCGTCCGGGGGGACCCCAAGGCGTTCCCAGGCCAGCTGAGAGACATAGTCCCTCCAGCGTGTCCTGGGTCTTCCGCGGGGCCTCCTCCCGGTGGGGCGTGCCCGGAACACCTCCCCAGGGAGGCGTCCAGGAGGCATCCGGAACAGATGCCCGAGCCACCTCAACTGGTTCCTCTCGACGTGGAGAAGCAGCGGCTCTACTCCGAGCTCCTCCCGTGTGACTGAGCTCCTCACCCTATCTCTAAGGGAGCGCCCAGCCACTCTGCGGAGGAAGCTCATTTCGACCGCTTGTATCCGCGATCTCGTTCTTTCGGTCATTACCCAAAGCTCATGACCATAGGTGAGGGAGGGAACGAAGATTGACCGGTAAATCGAGAGCTTTGCCTTTCGGCTCAGCTCCCTCTTCACCACAACGGTCCGATACAGCGACCGCATCACTGCGCACGCTGCACCGATCCGCCTGTCAATCTCACGCTCCATCCTCCCCTCACTCGTGAACAAGACCCCGAGATACTTGAACTCCTCCACTTGAGGAAGGACCTCTCCACCCACCTGCAGAGGGCACGGCACCTTTTTTGCTCTCAGTCCATTATCCATCAGTATTTGTTAGGCTTTATTATCAACTGGTGTGTTGTGAGATAAATGTCAGTGGCTTGTGAACATTCCCACATTCAACATCCAAAAACTTCAATTATCTATGTTTGCATTTAGATACTGTACAATCTTGGTTTAAATGCTCAATGTATATATAAATATGACAAAGTATATTGTATATTTGTTAATATATTTTTTCCACTGGTGCACCAATCTATATTTGGATGCTTATTGTATGTACAAATATGCACGTTATAAGATCTGAAGGAAAAAAATTAAGACAAGCAATAAAAAATTTCAGAATGGCATTTGTGTTTATATTGATGTTTATTGGCCATGAAAATTCAGGACAGGGAGGAACCCCGTGTAAGCCACATAATCAGGGAACTCCAGCCTGATACGGGTCACAGCACAGGACGGGATCACGACTCTGATATGCTGGCCTAGGTAACCCCAACACCACCTGACCACATTCCGGTACGCAAGGTGCCGGTAATTACTGAAAGAAGAGATGTATGGGTTGTCAACCACCTAATTGTTAATCAATTATCCTGCAAAAACTAACCTGTGCACCATCGTCTCTGGCATGTCACCAAAGAGCTGTAAGTATGTGCCATACACTGCCTGCAGCACATATGGGTTGAGGGCAACTGCCTCAAACCCCGGGTGCTCCGTAATGCAGGTGTTTACACCCACCTGCTGACATCTGTGCATTACCTACCACAAATAGGGAACTTAATGAGGAAAATATGATTTGTATAATTATGTCTTATTTAATTTTATTCTATTGTACCTTTGGTGTCTCCCTACAGCACACGTTCTCTTCTGGGGATAATGATGTGCAGTTGCCACACAAACACCTGTTGATGCAGAGTCATGTGTGTGTAACCCTAACCACAATATCCATCTCTTTTGTTCTACATCAAATAAAGCAGAGAGAGAGAGACACGAGCAGAGAGAGAGAGATGCGAGCAGAGAGAGAGAGACGCGAGCAGAGAGAGAGAGATGCGAGCAGAGAGAGAGAGATGCGAGCAGAGAGAGAGAGAGATGCGAGCAGAGAGAGAGAGAGATGCGAGCAGAGAGAGAGAGAGATGCGAGCAGAGAGAGAGAGAGATGCGAGCAGAGAGAGAGAGACGTGAGCAGAGAGAGAGGGACACGAGCAGAGAGAGACGTGAGCAGAGAGAGAGACGTGAGCAGAGAGAGAGAGACGTGAGCAGAGAGAGACGTGAGCAGAGAGAGAGACGTGAGCAGAGAGAGAGAGACGCGAGCAGAGAGAGACGTGAGCAGAGAGAGACGTGAGCAGAGAGAGAGAGACGCGAGCAGAGAGAGACGTGAGCAGAGAGAGACGTGAGCAGAGAGAGAGAGACGTGAGCAGAGAGAGAGAGAGTGAGCAGAGAGAGACGTGAGCAGAGAGAGAGAGACGCGAGCAGAGAGAGAGAGACGCGAGCAGAGAGAGACGTGAGCAGAGAGAGACGTGAGCAGAGAGAGAGAGAGCGTGAGCAGAGAGAGAGAGACGCGAGCAGAGAGAGAGAGCAGAGAGAGACGTGAGCAGAGAGAGAGACGTGAGCAGAAAGAGAGAGACGTGAGCAGAGAGAGAGAGGCGTGAGCAGAGAGAGAGAGAGGTGAGCAGAGAGAGAGAGAGAGACGCGAGCAGAGAGAGAGAGAGAGGGAGCAGAGAGAGAGAGAGACGCGAGCAGAGAGAGAGAGACGCGAGCAGAGAGAGAGAGAGCGAGAGAGAGAGAGAGAGACGAGCAGAGAGAGAGAGAGATGAGCAGAGAGAGAGATGCGAGCAGAGAGAGAGAGAGGAGCAGCAGAGAGAGAGAGAGAGATGCGAGCAGAGAGAGAGAGAGAGAGAGCAGAGAGAGAGAGATGCGAGCAGAGAGAGAGAGATGCGAGCAGAGAGAGAGAGACGTGAGCAGAGAGAGAGGGACACGAGCAGAGAGAGAGACGTGAGCAGAGAGAGAGACGTGAGCAGAGAGAGAGAGACGTGAGCAGAGAGAGAGAGACGTGAGCAGAGAGAGAGAGATGCGAGCAGAGAGAGAGAGACGTGAGCAGAGAGAGAGGGACACGAGCAGAGAGAGAGACGTGAGCAGAGAGAGAGACGTGAGCAGAGAGAGAGAGACGCGAGCAGAGAGAGAGAGACGCGAGCAGAGAGAGACGCGAGCAGAGAGAGAGAGACGTGAGTCCGCGTGTCTATGGTCCGCGCTCGGAGCCCAGACGGCAGTGCGTTCACTGAGTTGTCAGAGCGGGGGTCACAGCAGCTGCTCTCGGGGCCAGAGCGGAGGATGTAACGTAACGTTCGGTTTATCAAAACATATCACAATATTTAACGTATAACACTAGTGAATTTCACCTAGATTTTTTCAGACATTAAAGACAAGATGTTATATAATAATTGTTTAATGAAAAAACAATTTTGCCACAAGCAACCAAAAGATGTGCCTCAGACAAGAATCGAACCTGTATTTAATGCTATCCATTCGGCCAACAAAGCACCTCTGGGCTAGACAGGTTTGCACGCAGTCTTATACCTGAGCGTCTAAGTCGCTGGCAGAGCTAAAGCGGACTTAGCCTGCCACCTTGTGGCGATAAGATGTACTATTTTTCACGCAGCTGCGTGATTCCCGAGAAGCGTGAATGAAGACGACAAAACGGAATGGGACCTACTGTACATGTACAAATTAAATAAATTTTTTAAAAAAAAGATAAAAAATAAGATGGCCTTTAGCACTTCTTCAAACTGTTTTTATTTTATGTGTTTTTGTTTTCATGATTCTTTGTTTATTGCTTTTTCTAATCATTCATTTTGTACGATTTCACTGTTGTTGCTTTGATTTTTTTCTTAAACATGTGGATGTTTGCGGAATTTTTTATTTCATAGTCAAGTTGATTCCATAGTTTTACTCCGACCACTGATATTCCCATGTGTTTCTGGGTGGTTCTGGCAAAAGGGACAGAGAAGTGTAACTTCCTTCTACTGTCCTGGTTGATATTGAGAGAGAAGAGCTGTTATACAGCTGCTGTAGAGCTGTTGTAGAGCTGCTGTAGAGCTGTTGTAGAGCTGTTGTAGAGCTGCTGTAGAGCTGTTGTAGAGCTGCTGTAGAGCTGTTGTAGAGCTGTTGTAGAGCTGTTGTAGAGCTGTTGTAGAGCTGCTGTAGAGCTGTTGTAGAGCTGCTGTAGAGCTGCTGTAGAGCTGTTGTAGAGCTGTTGTAGAGCTGTTGTAGAGCTGCTGTAGAGTTGTTGTAGAGCTGTTGTAGAGCTGCTGTAGAGCTGCTGTAGAGTTGTTGTAGAGCTGTTGTACAGCTGCTGTAGAGCTGCTGTAGAGCTGTAGTAGAGCTGTTGTACAGCTGCTGTAGAGCTGCTGTAGAGCTGTTGTAGAGCTGCTGTAGAGCTGCTGTAGAGCTGCTGTAGAGCTGTTGTAGAGCTGCTGGCAGCAGAGAGTCTCTGGCTTTGTACATCACACTGAGTGACTGTAGTTTGATCAGATCCTCTAGTGTGAACAGTTTTGATTGTATGAATAGGTTGTTTGTGTGTTCTCTTGAGTCCACTTCATGAATGATTCTCACTGCTTTTTTTGTAAGAGGATTAGAGGATGTATGGTGTGTTTGTGTGTGTTTCCCCAGACTTCTACACAGTCGGTGAAATGGGGCAATATCAGGGTTCTGTACAGGAGCCTTAGGGCTTTTATGATCAAGTGAATGTTTCACTTTGTGCAGTACCGAGATATTTTTTGATATTTTTCTTTTTACCTGATTTACATGGGATTTCCAATTTAATTTCTCATCCATTGTCGCTCCCAAAAATGTTATTTCTTGTACTCCTTCAATTTTTGTGCTATTTATTGACACCTGGACGTCTGTGTTACTGTTATTGTTTGAAAACACCATGAATTTCGTTTTGCTTATATTTAATGATAATTTATTCTCATCAAACCATGTTTTTATTTTGGCCATTTCCTCTTCCATCGTCCTTGTTAATTTTTTTATATGATCTCCTGATAGAAAAAAATGTGTGTCATCTGCAAATAAGACTGATTTGAGTTTTGATGAGATAGAACATAAGTCATTGATATATAAAATAAAGAGTTTTGGCCCGAGAATGGAACCTTGGGGAATTCCACACTGAATATTTAGTTTGTTAGAAATGTTGCCAGCAAACTGTACAAACTGTTGTCTATTTTCTAAATAGCTTTCAACCCAATTTACCACCCCTCCTCTCACGCATACCACTGTAGTTTTTTTATTAATATACTGTGATTAATTGTGTCAAATGCCTTTTTTAAGTCAACAAATACTGCCAATGTGCTTTGTTTATTTTCTACTGCTGCTGTTCTGTGTTCTGTGATTTGCAGTAGTGCTAAAGCCGTGGATCGTTTTTTCCTGAAGCCAAATTGGTTCTCATTAATCAACATGTTTTTTTCTACAAAGGAATCTAATCTGTGAACAAAAAGTTTTTCAAGAATTTTTGCAACCTGTGAAATTAAAGAAATGGGTCTGTAATTTGTTAGACAATGCTTGTCCCCTGTTTTGAATACAGGAATTACTTTTGATGTTTTTAATCTATCAGGAAAAAGTCCAGAAGTGAAAGACAGGTTAAAAATATGGCAAAGTGGTTTGGTTTTGCAGTCTATGGTCTTTTTAATGATAGCCATATCTATCCCATCACTATCTATCGATGTCTTATTTTTGAACTCTGCAACTGTTCTTAAAATTTCTGGTTCAGTGACTTTTTCTAAATATATGGAGTGATGAATTTTACTGCCTTGTGTTTTTAAATATGTATTTCCCGGTTGTTGAATTTTATCAGCAAGCTTTGGCCCTATATTTACAAAGTACGAGTTAAGCTCGTTGGCCATATCTTTAACATCTATTTGATTATTTTCCTCATTTAGTAAGTCATTTGGTAAATAAATAAATAGAATGCACCTGTGTGTAATCAAGTCTCCGTATAAATGCACCTGCTCTTTGATAGTCTCAGGGTTCTGTTTAAAGCACAGAGAGAACCATGAAGACAAAGGAACACACCAGGCAGGTCCGAGATACTGTTGTGGAGAAGTTTAAAGCCGGATTTGGATACAAAAAGATTTCCCAAGCTTTAAACATCTCAAGGAGCACTGTGCAAGCAATTATATTGAAATGGAAGGAGTATCAGACCACTGCAAATCTACCAAGACCTGGCCGTCCCTCCAAACTTTCATCTCAAACAAGGAGAAGACTGATCAGAGATGCAGCCAAGAGGCCCATGATCACTCTGGATGAACTGCAGATAACTACAGCTGAGGTGGGAGAGTCTGTCCATAGGACAACAATCAGTCGTGCACTGCACAAATCTGGCCTTTATGGAAGAGTGGAAAGAAGAAAGCCATTTCTCAAAGATATCCATAAAAAGTCTCGTTTAAAGTTTGCCACAAGCCACCTGGGAGACACACCAAACATGTGGAAGAAGGTGCTCTGGTCAGATGAAACCAAAATCAAACTTTTTGGCCAAAATGCAAAACAATATGTTTGGCGTAAAAGCAACACAGCTCATCACCCTGAACACACCATCCCCACTGTCAAACATGGTGGTGGCAGCATCATGCTTTGGGCCTGCTTTTCTTCAGCAGGGACAGGGAAGATGGCTAAAATTGATGGGAAGATGGATGGAGCCAAATACAGGACCATTCTGGAAGAAAACTTGTTGGAGTCTGCAAAAGACCTGAGACTGGGACGGAGATTTATCTTCCAACAGGACAATGATCCAAAACATAAAGCCAAATCTACAATGGAATGGTTCACAAATAGACGTATCCAGGTGTTAGAATGGCCAAGTCAAAGTCCAGACCTGAATCCAATCGAGAATCTGTGGAAAGAGCTGAAGACTGCTGTTCACAAACGCTCTCCAGCCAACCTCACTGAGCTCTAGCTGTTTTGCAATGAAGAATGGGCAAGAATTCCAGTCTCTCGATGTGCAAAACTGATAGAGACATACCCCAAGCGACTTGCAGCTGTAATTGCAGCAAAAGGTGGCGCTACAAATATTAGTGCAAGGGGGCCGAATAATATTGCACGCCCCACTTTTCAGTTTTTTATTTGTTAAAAAAGTTTAAATTATCCAATAAATTTTGTTCCACTTCACGATTGTGTCCCACTTGTTGTTGATTCTTGATGTTTGAAGCCTGAAATGTGGCGAAATGTTGAAAGGTTCATGGGGGACGAATACTTTCGCAAGGCACTGTATGTCCTTGTCTCTCAAAAAGTGCAAGACTTGGTCCTCCAGAGTTTGCAGGTCTTAACTTGCTGCGTCCTCTCCAACATTCCTGCTCGCTGCAGCCGCTCGAGCATAGGAACGCGGGTTGATGTTAAGTCCGATAATAATTACATCCTCCATCCTCGGATACTGCTCCAGGTTTTCAACCCTCTTCTCAAGATCAACAATAGTCACATCCCTCACTCTGATTATTTCCTTCAGTTTCTTCACTTCTGCTACAAGCTCCGTTAGCGTCTGTAGTTGCCGGGAGACGCTAACCAGCTCCCCGGACATAAAGTTTAGCGACTGTCGTATACCTTTGATGTCATTCTCCATTTGTGTTTTTCTTGGGTGGCATCACCTGAGTTATGTAGACGCCTCCTTCGCCTTTCTTCAGTGTTATTTAACAGAAAGGTATACTTTGTCGCTAAGTTACAAGTACATTATTACATTATTATTACTGCATTGTTATTATTACTATTATTATTAGATATCCATCTGATATTCTGCCATTCAGATTCAGTTTATTTGCCATTTGCAGTAAAAAAACCACATTGGAATACATTAGCAAAAGTCTCCAGTGTGCACAGACAAATACAGACATGAAACAACATTAAAAGACAGAAATAAAACAAATAAAACAGTAAACAAATGTCACTGTGAAATCGATCGACTAAAACAGTTTCAAAACAAGTGCAAATCATTAAAGTGCTCTGTTCACACTGATAACAGCCTGTGGATAAAAACTGTTAGCGTAACGAGATGTCCTGCATCTCAGAGAGCGATATCTTCTGCCAGAGGGAAGAAGCTGGAACATGGCTTTCCCAGGGTGGCCAGAAGAGTCATTAACAATCCTAAGAGCTTTGTTTAAAAGTCTGGATTTATAAAGAACCTCCAGAACAGGAAGCTCACAGCCCACGGTCCTCTTTGCAGAGCGGAGCACCTTGTTTAAAGCTCTCTTTTCTTCATCTGTGATGTTTCCAAACCACACAGACACAGAACCAACAAGTAAACTCTCAATGGGGCAGCCATAAAAGTTAAGCACAATCTTAGAGTTAGTGGTAAATTCTCTAAGTTTACGCAGAAAGTAGAGACGCTGACGAGCTTTCTTTACGACTCGGTCAGTGTTTTTAACCCATTTCAGGTTAGACAGAGTTAAACCCAGAAACTTGCTCCTCTACAATCTGTACCTGGGAGTTGTCGATTACGACAGACAAATGAGAACTATTGCGACTGAAGTCGTAGACCAGTTCACATGTTTTGGATGCGTTCAACTGGAGGTTGTTAGTTTGACTCCACTGAACCACATTTTGTATCTCTGCTCTATAAGAGGATTCATCAGTGTCACTGATGAGACCGATGATGGTGGTGTCATCAGCATATTTGATGATCAAGTTTGAGTCAGAGGAGGACACACAATCGTGAGTGTACAATGTAAAAAGCAAAGGACTCAAAATACATCCCTGAGGAGAACCAGTGCTCACAGAAACAACATCAGAAAAACACTCATTGATTTTCACTCTCTGAGATCTGTCAGTTAAAAAGCTAAAAATCCATTTACACATGGCAACACTTAAACTGAGAGACATGAGCTTTTCAATCAGTTTACCTGGGACAAGGCAGTTAAAAGCAGAGCTATAATCGATGAAAAGCATTCTGGCCACAGATTTACTAGTGTCCAAGTGACTGTAGACAGAGTTCAGAGCAAAGGAGATGCATCCTCCACACTCCTGTTCTGTCTGTAGCAAACTGGAGCGGGTCAACACTCACAGGGATCTGGCTCTTAATGAAGTCCAGCACAAGCCGCTCAAAAGTCTTCATAAGAACAGACAGATTCAAGTACAATAAACACATCTCTAAATACTGACAAACCAAGTGACATTAAAGCTCCATAGTTTATTTTATTTTAATTATATTGTCTATTATCTTAAACAATAGACTCTGACGTGTGTTACATTCATAGTATATCAGTGAGGGATTGAGCAGCACTTTAAAATCTAGTGTGTGCTGTATTTGCACTTTCTGCTGGTGCCATCTCTCTGTGGTCATGTTTACGTCTGCACCTGGAGCCTGAGAGGTGTGGCAAATCCAGACTCTATAAACTGGGACAAAGCTTGAACCATTTCATTTCCACTCACAAAACCCAACCAGCACTTTACTATTATAATTATTATTATTTTATATTTAATTGAGAAAATGACTAAATTTGGTCATAATTTTGTAGCAAAGCTCATGACAGTTTTGAAGAAAGCAATCGGTCCTTCTATGCTGGTCGTGCTCATCTTCATCCTGCAGTATCTTTTGGACCTAGACTTTAAAGGAGCAATATGTAATATTTGCATGTCAAGTCATCATTGAATGACCCGAATATTTCAAAAGGCGTTATTAAATCATACTCTTTTCGAATTCATCTTTAACTGATAACAGTAGTTCAGCCGAGATATTTGATTATCAAAATTAGTTTTACGACCCGTAAAAGTTGTTATTGTTTTGATTTTGATGTCCTACCCTCCGCCGTTTCGCCAATCAGGAAGTGTTATGTAAGTCCGTGATCGGGTTGCCAGAACTCCGTGCGGCTCATTAATCTCAGTGGTAAAATAACATGTGGCGCAGAACTAAAAAAGGTCTTGTTATGACTCTCAAATCATTAATGACAAAAGAAAGACTAAAACGAGGATTTATATCGGGATGCCTTTGAACAATTGAGACAGCTGATAAAAGTTCACGTGTGATGCAGAATTTTCTAGTTTAAGGGCGTTCTTCACAGTGTCTCCATTCGTGTGAATCGGTGGCCTAGTGGTCAAATCTGTGCGCTTACGATGCAGGAACCCGGGTTCGATCCCGGGCTATGTCTTTTTGTATTTATTGCATGTTATCACATTCTATGACAGATTGCTCTAAAAACGGTAAAAGATGAAGGTCAAGACGTTTTTTTTGCAGATTATAGCTTAATTGTAAAAATAATCATTTAAGACCACATGTACCCCAATTCAAATAGTGTTAGTCTCTTTTTGATGTGGGACTTTTACATGTTTGTCTAAAAAATAGGGAATAAATAGAATTTAAAGGTGATATCCTCTTGAGCAAACCCTGATGTTGATACACTGAAGAAATACGTTCCAACATCCATTCTTCCCACTCCTATTTTGGACAACAATTTCTTATTTATTTTGCATAAACTATGTATAATTACATTGCTTTTATTTTGTTTTTGTTTTTTATCTCAAATGTCCAAATAATAATAATAATAAAAACATTAATCAAAACATTCATTCAGCATTAGCACGGCTGTCATGGCAATGTGAATGGAGACGGACAAATAACTGATGAAATAATTTCCTGTGTTTGCTGCTGGATTTGGTGTGAATCTGGCAACCTGAGTCAGGGAGAGTGGGAGAGGACTACAGAATATTGACTGTGACTGCAGTACCACTTTTGGCCAGATTTTTACATATTGCTCCTTTAAATGCTCCTGTAAACCTGGAATTGGCGCTAGCGACGGAATTTACTACGGACTTTACTTAGGTTTGCCTCCTCTTATTCTGACCTGGGTTTTGTTCTACTTCAAGTCTTTCAGTCAGAGGAGTGTCTCTCGCCGTTTTCTTTCCCAGAACAACTGCTGCTCAAACTGTCAAAACTGTCTTAGTTTCATTTTCACATTTCTGCTGAAACTTGTTTTTAATGGAGGTATTTGGCTCACAGCGGTTTTTTTTGACGGAGACTGGTTTTTTTGTTTCTCGACACGTTGGGACTCGAACCTCGTCGACCTGCCCTGCAAAGACACCAAGCTGCTCTCAGAAAAGGAAAAAGAAACTATAAATGGCTATAAAATTGAGTCTTTCGTAAGTAACACACATTTAATATTTATATAACTTATTATTATTATTATTATTATTATTATGGTCAAGAGAGAGATTTTATACTCGTTTTTTTATGTTAGAGTTAGAGATTTTATTTTATTTTATAGTTAGATTTTAAGATAAGATAGTTTATTGATCTCTGATGGAGAAATGTCCACGTCACATTAAACATTTAGCACAGACAGAATCAGACAGAAGTGTTTAACATGTTTAAGGTTAAAAATCGTCTGTGCAGGAGATAATTATGTACGATAAAAAGGCAATTTTGGCAATTAAAGAAACAGTGTCCATAGTAGTGCAGGTGCAGGCATGTCCAAACTCAGGCCCGGGGGCCAATAGCGGCCCTCTGTGTTATTTTATGTGGCCCTCTGCCTTCCTAACCCAAAGTAGTCTATGAGATCATCAGAATCAGAATCCTTTTGTTGCCATGTGAGTAACAGGAAGTCACAAACTAGGAAATTGCTTCGGCTCTCGGTGCAAACAAGTTCAAGCAGAATAAAATCAAAAAGGCATACATAAATAAAAATCTACATAAATGTCTGATCACTGTAAACTCAAACTCCTAAACTCAATAAAACTCGTAAACACAAGTTGACTGTGTCATCCATCCAGCTTCAGCTCAGCCAATATAGACCTTGCTGTTAAATAACTGTCATAAGGAGCGCGGAAACATGTTAATAGATTTAAGCAGCCAGCCTCGATGTTTATTCATCAAACTGAATCTCTCCATCTGTGAGATAATGAAGGATTGATTGTTCTAAAGCAGTATGTTGTTGACTGTATTTGCACATATTGTACTGATGTGGTTTTTGATTGTGTCTTTAATGGTGCTGGTGAAATGGTAGATATTTGTCATTCAGCCAACTTCAGCTCTCGTATACATCATCCTAAAAGCTCAGAACATTCCAATGCGAGTCCAGACACCTTTTCAGTCTGTGATGTCGGCCCAGGACTAGTCTGGTGAACTAAAGTGGCCCTCTTACTAAAAAGTTTGGACACCCCTGTCCTAATGCAAGTGATTTAAAGTGACTTATTGTACAGTCTGACAGTGGTGGGGATAAAGGCCCTCACCTCCTCCACAGAGTCCAGGGGGCAGCCCAGAGTGGAGCTGGCCCTCCTGACCATCTTGTTTAATTGTATAGTTAGATTATGTTTAATTTAAATTAGTATAACTGTTGTTAATGTATCTTGTGCTGTGTGCTCCTCATTAATACTGTTCTATAACTTGTGATGCAACCCTGGAATTTCCCCACTGTAGGACCAATAATCCTAATCTCACTGTAGTTCAGGATAAGACTGTAGTAGTTTCTAATGTCATTATTTTGGTTGAATGTGTTTCTTTCTGGAGGTGAAACCTTATTGAACTTTATTCATATTTATTTTATTTGTTGTCTTTTGTAGGACATTGGGCTTGGAATCATCAGCGTCCTGCTGTTGCTGTGGACTGTGGCTCAGGTGGTGAAAGGTTGCTGTATCCGGAAAACACGTCAGAAGAATGAACAACTCTGCTGTCCTCCGTACTATAAAGTTGTTTATGAGAATCTTCTGAGAGAACAAGTCGATGTTTACCTGAAAAATGAACTCACGAAAATCGCAACTGAAACAGCAAAGATCATCGGTCAAAAACACGTAGAAATCATTCAAAAATACGAGGTAACATTGAACGAATCTTCAACAGTTGATGATTCGTGGCAGACCATATCGGCGTCAGATTTTTACTACACAGAGGAGAGACCAAAGGCAACTCCCGCCTCGACTGCTGACACTCCCTCCTCTCCCGCCTCGACTGCTGACACTCCCTCCTCTCCCGCCTCGACTGCTGCAACTCCCTCCTCTCCGGTCTCGACTGCTGCAACTCCCTCCTCTCCCGCCTCGACTACTGCAACTCCCTCCTCTCCGGTCTCGACTGCTGCAACTCCCTCCTCTCCGGTCTCGACTGCTGCAACTCCCTCCTCTCCCGCCTCGACTGCTGCAACTCCCTCCTCTCCCGCCTCGACTGCTGCAACTCCCTCCTCTACGGTCTCGACTACTGCAACTCCCTCCTCTCCGGTCTCGACTACTGCAACTCCCTCCTCTCCGGTCTCGACTACTGCAACTCCCTCCTCTCCGGTCTCGACTGCTGCAACTCCCTCCTCTACGGTCTCGACTACTCTACGGTCTCGACTGCTGCAACTCCCTCCTCTCCCGCCTCGACTACTGCAACTCCCTCCTCTACGGTCTCGACTGCTGCAACTCCCTCCTCTCCGGTCTCGACTGCTGCAACTCCCCTCCTCTACGGTCTCGACTGCTGCAACTCCCTCCTCTCCGGTCTCGACTGCTGCAACTCCCTCCTCTCCGGTCTCGACTGCTGCAACTCCCTCCTCTACGGTCTCGACTGCTGCAACTCCCTCCTCTCCGGTCTCGACTGCTGCAACTCCCTCCTCTCCGGTCTCGACTGCTGCAACTCCCTCCTCTCCGGTCTCGACTGCTGCAACTCCCTCCTCTCCGGTCTCGACTGCTGCAACTCCCTCCTCTACGGTCTCGACTGCTGCAACTCCCTCCTCTCCGGTCTCGACTGCTGCAACTCCCTCCTCTCCGGTCTCGACTGCTGCAACTCCCTCCTCTCCCGCCTCGACTACTGCAACTCCCTCCTCTCCGGTCTCGACTGCTGCAACTCCCTCCTCTCCGGTCTCGACTACTGCAACTCCCTCCTCTCCCGTCTCGACTGCTGCAACTCCCTCCTCCGCGGCTAGGCCAGGCTAAGCTAGGCCAGGCTAGTCCGGACTCGGGTCTGGACTACAGCAGACTCCAAGACCAGACAAACAATCGATACCCAAACCTCAGCTACAATAATAATAAATGAATCAAACACAGTCTTGATAAAATCACAGATTTATTGAAAACAAAAGTAAAGTGCAAAACCAACAGTTTACAAAGTCAAAAGTACATATGTGTGAGACCAGGTCCAGACCAGGTCCAGGCCCAGATGAGAATACTCCGGTCACTAATTACTCGTTGGTAATCTCCACACTTATGGAAAGGGATTGTCATACAAATGTACACACGACAACATAAATACAAGCACAAAACAGAATGACAACACATGAATACTGCAGATTATACAGATAATAACTGTTAGTTTTAAACTTCACATGCTGTATTTTAATGTCTGCTTTGTCTTTGTTGTGTCTCTTTTGTGTTTTGCTCTGTTTGCTTTGTGTTTCTGTATCTAATTATTTTGACCTTGTATTATGACTGTTTTTATTGTTTATCATTCTGACTGTGGAGCGCTTTGTAAACATTGTTTTTAAAAGTGCTATACAAATAAAGATTATTATTACCAGTGGAGAGACCAGTGGAGAGACCAGTGGAGAGACCAGAGGAGAGACCAGAGGAGAGACCAGAGGAGAGACCAGAGGAGAGACCAGAGAAGAGAGTTCAATAAATAAAATACAGTGGGGCAAAAAAGTATTTAGTCAGCCACCGATTGTGTCCGAAGTTCTCCCACTTATAATAATGACAGAGGTCTGTAATTTTCATCATAGGTTCACTTCAACTGTGAGAGACAGAATGTGAAAATAAATCCAGGAATTCACATTGTAGAATTTTTAGAGAATTTATTTGTAAATTATGGTGGAAAATAAGTATTTGGTCACTTCAAACAAGGAAGATCTCTGGCTCTCACAGACCTGTAACTTCTTCTTTAAAACCCGCCTCATTTTGGCTCGTGCACAAAAGTTGGGCATACCCAAATGTCTTTGCTAATTTAAAAACACATCTTACATCTCACATGCTTGTGTGATGCATCATTTTAAAGCTAGAGCCTTCTAGTTTATGTAAATATACACTGAAATAATGTCTGTCATTCCTATTTCACTCTGCATCCTTTGAAGTTTGGAAAAAAAACTTTTTTTTAGCCTCGCCTAAAATTTTCAATTTCTAAAGGCCCTAAAAAAGGCATACTTCATTGTAAGCTCACAATATTCAAACCCTATGGTCATTGTGTTGTTGACAACAACTGTCTAAAGTTTCAGACTTCTAAGTTTTATAGTTTTTATGCAGTTTCTCCTTTTCATCAAGTAGTGCCATTCGGAACCAATTTGGCACAATTGTGCCAAAATGCTTTACTGACATTTCATCATCATAAAAACCATATTTTTAATATGGGTACTTATAAGTTACTAATCTATGTGATTTTTTTTTAAATGTCAAAGTTAATTTTTTATGAGTGTAAAATCATTGCGCCTTCGAGAGCGTCTTTTGATTGCTGTTACGCACACTTGTCAGGGCACAAATTAAGACAGAACACTTTTGTCCCACCCCTTGCTAGAAAGCATTCCTCATTGGCTACACAGACACGTCAATCTTTCGGCCAGGAAATTCATGCAAAGCAGTCCGGAGCCGACGGTATAAACTAGGCTTAACAGGCTTAGCAGTACTACCGGGAGATGCTACGGACGTAAACAACCTCGTAGAGCTTCATGGAAGGTGTCATTTTAAAGCTAAAGAGCTGGGGAACACGTGGATACTATGGTTTTGGGTGAAAAACAAAGCTAAAAGTCCACTAAAAGTGAAAGAACAGCCTCTGTGTTCTTTGTTTTCGTTTTTTTTGCTAAAGATAAACGCACATTTTTTGATTATTTCTCCAGAATGGATTATACTTTGGGAAATACAAGTGGATATTATTTTTCAATTGACAGTTCCAGAGAGAAAGATGTATTGGAAGCTGGGAGGAGAGCTGATTGATTTATGCAGCACAAAACTTTTTCCGAAGTGATTTTTTTTGAGCCCCCATTATGTGTTATATCTTTTGAATGCAAAGTCTGATGTAGTTTACACTTGTATATCAAATCAAATCAAATCAAAGTTTATTTGTAGAGCGCCTTTCATACACATGGCAACACAAAGCGCTTCACAGTCCACATCACAAATCATCACATAAAACAAACACCAGAATCACAATTAAAACATTAAAATCACACAAAAGATTAAAACACAATTAAAACATTAAAATCACACAAAAGAATAAAACCATTAAAACTTTCAAAATTACACAAGAAATTTAAAAAAATAAATAAATGACAGCAGTGCATTAAAAATGGAGATAAAATCCTTCAGTTGTATGCACAGGCAAACAGAACAGTCTTTAACCTGGATTTGAACATTGACAGAGTAGACGCCTCCCTCACATTTTCAGGGAGATTGTTCCAGATCTTAGCTGCATGGATCTGAAACGCAGCCTCCCCATGTTTGGTTCTCACTCTGGGCACCAGCAGGAGGCCAGTCCCTGTGCTCCTCAGAGTCCGGGCTGGTTCATATGACACCAACATGTCACTAATGTATTCTGGTGCAAGGCCATGGAGAGACTTGTACACAAGCAGAGCCGTTTTAAAATCTATTCTTTGAGCCACAGGAAGCCAGTGCAAAGACCTGAGGACCGGACTAATATGGTCATACTTCCTGGTTCCTGTCAGGACTCTAGCTGCTGCATTTTGGATGTACTGCAGCTGCTTACAGGTCTGTTTGGACAGACCTGTAAGCAGGCCATTGCAGTAGTCTAGCCTGCTGGAGACAAATGCATGGACAAGAATCTCCAAGTCTGCCCTGGACACTATATTTCTAACTTTGGCAATGTTCTTCAGATGGTAAAAAGCTGTTGATGTTATTGATTTTATGTGGCTATTGAAATTTAGGTCTGAGTCCAGTATTACCCCCAAATTTCTGACCTTGTCTGAAGGAAGTAGGGAGAGAGACTGAAGTTGACAAATGACGCCCTCTCTTTGTTTCTGGGGACCAAAGACAATGATTTCGGTTTTGTCTGTATTTAGCTGGAGGAAATTATTTTGCATCCAGTCACTGATCTGTTGGATACAGTGAAGGAGCAAATCCAGTGGTCCATGTTCTCCTGCAGTCAGTGAGACATAGATCTGAGTGTCGTCAGCGTAATTGTGGTAGGACACTTTGTTTCTTTGTATTAACTGACCTAACGGCAGCATGTAGAGATTAAATAGGAGAGGTCCCAGGATCGACCCCTGTGGTACACCACAGGTCAGGGCCACATCATCTGAGACGCGGTCTCCAATCTCCACAGAGTACTTCCTATCCTCCAGGTAAGACCTAAACCAGTCTAGGGCTGTGCCAGTGACACCAGCCCAGTCCTCCAGTCTCTGCATGAGGATCTCATGGTCGACAGTGTCGAACGCGGCACTAAGATCTAACATGACCAAAACTGTGACTTTACCTGCATCAGTGTGAAGTCGAATGTCGTTTGTTACCTTCACTAGAGCGGTCTCAGTGCTGTGGTGGGGTCTAAACCCAGACTGGAACATATCAAAAGAATTATTCATTGTTAAAAATTCAGTAAGTTGTTGGGAGGCCACTTTTTCAAGAATTTTTCCAATAAATGGCAGATTCGATATGGGGCGATAATTTTGAAGTCCCGCGGATCCAGACTGCTCTTTTTTAGGAGAGGTCTTATGACTGCTGTTTTTAGGGCCATAGGAAATGTTCCTGACGACAGAGACATGTTTACTATTTGTGTCAGTGAAGGTAACAAACTGCTCAGGACGGACTTCAGAAATTTAGAGGGCAATATATCCAGGCTACATGTGGAGGAGCTCAGACTCATGATTATCTTTTTGACAGTTTCAGTATCCACAGGTGCAAAGTGAGTTAGCTCAGAAAGCTTCTCTGGCTGTTGCATTGTTATACGTGCTGTGGAGGTGATAGTGTTTTTGATTCCTTGTACTTTGTCATCGAAAAACTGTGCGAACTCATTACACCTAGATTTAGAGGAAAATTCTAGGGGCAACTTTACAGGGGGGTTCGTTAATCTACCAACTGTTGAAAACATAACACGAAAATTGTTACTGCAACCTCCAATAATGTCAGAAAAATACATTTCTCTTGTTCTACGTAGAACCCGGTTAAATTCACCCAACTCATCTTTAAAGATTTCATAATCGCCCTGGAAATTGGACTTTCGCCACTTCCGTTCGGCCCTCCGGCACTCTTGCTTCTGTGCCCTAACCGAGTCTGCCTTAGTCCATGGGGCCTTTTTCTTACTGGTAACTATTTTAACCGTCACAGGAGCAATGGCGTCCAGAACAGTCAGAACACTGGTGGTGACAGAGTTATACAATTCATCAACAGTAGAGCATGGAGTTTTCTCAAAATTTAGCATTCCCATGAACAGTTCACTTGTGTTTTCATGTATGTGTCTTCTTCTAACAGTTGTAAATTCAGCTGGTGGTTTGCTAGCAAAACACATGTCAAAAAATACACAGAAATGATCTGACAAAGCAACATCAACTACATTAACATTTGATACATTAACCCCCTTTGTAATTAGCAGGTCAAGAGTGTGCCCCCTGCTGTGGGTGGGGCCACTCACGTGCTGAATGAAACCAAAGGTCTCAAATACAGAAGCCAGCTCCCTTTGCATTTCTGTCATCAACATTATCAACATGTACATTAAAATCACCTGTAATAACTAAACTATCAAAATCTGTGCACACGAATGAAAGTAGTTCAGTAAAATGGTCAATAAAATCGCAACATGACTGTGGTGGCCTGTACAGGACAATGAAAAGAGTAGAAGATTGCTTTTGTTCCATTTTAAAAGAAATATACTCAAACGATGAAAAATTTCCAAGGGGCATTCTATGGGAGACAAAGTGCTCTCTAAAAACTGCAGCTATGCCTCCCCCCCTTTTGTTTTCTCGTATTTCGGATTCGAATTTAAAATTGGGTGGTGTTGCTTCTATTAGAACTGCATTTCCTGTATTTTGGTCCAGCCATGTTTCAGCCATAAGCATAAAATCAAGATCATAAGAAGTGATAAAATTATTAATTAAAAATGATTTGTTACATAGAGATCTGACATTAAGCATAGCAAGTTTAAAAATAACGTCAGAGTCGATTAATGTGGTTGATTGATTTCTACAGGGAACAGAAATTAGATTTGCAGAGTTGGACCGTCTAACTGCTGTCCTGTTTTGATTTCGTTTTTTAGAATTTAAAAACATTTTTGAGCTGGTGCGAGGAACACACACAGTCTCAATTGGCCTAAAATGTGAAAACCCTTGTTGTTCTTTAGCTCCCAGAGTCAGAAGGGAGTCAGCACAGTTCAGTGTTTGGACTGGTAATGCACTGCCAGACGGACAGGGAGCAGTGTTTGCACCGTTGTACTCACCCGGTGCTGGTGAGCAGGAGGCGGGGGAGTGCGGTGGGGTCCGAGGGGGCTCAGATGTAAACAGTCACGTCCCCCTCGGGGAACGCTGAACAACATAACGTATGTAATCCATCAACAGGCTGCTACCGTATCTGTTTGGGTGTAATCCGTCTGGACGATAGGCTTCGTAACGTTTCCAGAAAAGGGCAAAGTTATTCACAAAGACAAAGTTAAAAGAGCTGCATGTAGCCTGAAGCCACATATGCAGCGCCACAACACGACTGTAGAGGCAGTCACCTCTGTTTACAGTCTGGATTGGACCAGAAATAAAAACAGATAGTCCGGAGGATTGAAGGAGGTGGAACAGATCCATAAAATGTTTCTTCGTGACTTCTGACTGCTGAAGTTTCATGTCGTTAATTCCCACATGCACGACTACCTTGGAAACGGTATCAGGCAGGGACTGAAGCAGAGGAGGGAGACGTATGAGCAGGTCTGGCACAGTAGCTCCGGGAATACAGCGAGTGACCGCGTTAAAGAAGCGGACGTGTCTCACGATGGAATCTCCAATAATCAGAGTGGTCGGGGCGAAGAGTGGCCTCGGAGAAGGAGCTCGGTGGACGGAACCAGCGGGTTCACCCGAAGCAGGACCCGAGCCTGAGCGCCGCTGAACACATGGAGAGGAGGAGCGGGGGTGCTGACTCTCAGCTACAGGCGACCCACGCTGTGTGCTCGGGGACGCTGGAGCGGTGAGAGGGGCTGGCTCTGGGCGCTGCTGCTGACCCGGTGGAGGTGAGCGGTGGTGATGATGGCTAGCTACCCCAGTCTGAGGCTGCTGCACTGGGGTCAAAGAAGGGGAACAGGCCAACATGGCCGGTGGACCGCTCTTTCGCCTGAGGACTGCTTCCTTTAGGAGCGTTTTCCTCGCAGTGGACTTGGATCCTCGAGCAGTGGAGTACGCTGCAGTGTCCAGGGATTCTGCTGAGGGGGCCGGGATGTCAGTGGAGAGGGCTGCATAGCGGTTTGCCAGACTCAGGATATGGGCCACGGCGCAGGATGGCTCCTCGGAATCCGCGGGCTCGTTGTTCGGAACCGGGCGCTTAGGTGTAGAACAGGAGGGTCCGGAGCTGACGGATCTCTCCCACACGACAGTGTCACAATATGCAGCGCTCAGTGACATCAGCCGTGAGTGCTGCCCACCAGCGACTTCAAAAAGTTTGGACACTAGAGATTGTTTCTCATTCAACTCTGCGGTGAGACGAAGGACTTCTTTTCGTAGTTCTGCAATGGTGGCACGGTCGCTCTCACGGAGCTCCAAGGTGAGGCGACTAATATTGTGCATGTTTGAGCCAATTTCATTGTCACTTTCCATGTCCTCGTTAGCTTGTGTTAGCCTCTGTGCTACTAGTGGGTTTCAGTTGGGACTAAGTGCTATTTGCTGAAACCACTGAATTAATAACATAAAACACTCAGATATATTAAAAAACTGAACAATAAAAACGCGCTAAAAAGTTGTTAAAAGTTTACTAAAAAGGTGCACAGAGCAGCCCCTACATATAAATGTAGATAAGAAAATAATCTTTAAAATGATATACAACATTTGGGGTTTGGTGTTCAAAATACATCTGCTATTGCCAGCAGAACATTTTAGGTTAAGAAGCTCTTCTGTCCTCCACTCGTTACCTGTATTAATGGCACCTGTTTGAACTCATCTGTATAAAAGACACCTGTCCACAGCCTCAAACAGTCTGACTCCAAACTCCACTATGGCCAAGACCAAAGAGCTGTCGAAAGACACCAGGAAGATAATTGTAGACCTGCACCAGACTGGGAAGAGTGAATCTACAATAGGCAAGCAGCTTGGTGTGAACAAATCAACTGTGGGAGCAATTATCAGAAAATGGAAGACATACAAGACCACTGATAATCTCCCTCGATCTGGGGCTCCACGCAAGATCTCATCCCATGGGGTCAAAATGATCATGAGAACGGTGATCAAAAATCCCAGAACCACACGGGGGGACCTGGTGAATGACCTGCAGAGAGCTGGGACCAAAGTAACACAGGTTACCATCAGTAACACACTACGACGGGAGAACTTGCAGTCAGTGGCTGACTAAATACTTTTTGCCCCACTGTATACCTTTAAGCAACATAAATACTGCAGCACTTTAAAGGTCCTATATCAGGCTTTTCTTCATGTTTCACACTCAGTCCTCTGCACATGTGTGATATTAATGTGTATGATACACCACACAACAATCAAAGCTTGTGAGATTAGAGCCATCTCTTGTATAGAGGTGACGTCACCTCGACTCAAACGAGCTGATCCAGAGTCTGCTCCTCTGCCTGTGAGCCCGCCTCCCCCCGCCCTCACCCGCCTCCCCCCGCCCTCACCCGCCTCCCCCCGCCCTCACCCGCCCTCACCCGCCTCCCCCCGCCCTCACCCGCCTCCCCCCACCCTCACCCGCCTCCCCCGCCCGCACGCTGACGTAGCATCACGCTTTTGTCGTTTATCACCTGTACTTAGTCATTTCATACATAAGAATAAACTTTTTCCAACAATGACAATCCGTCACATTGAGCCCTATGTCCTCGATGCACAATCAGACCCTAGTTATTTAGTTTACAGAAGTATACAGCGAGTTAGCGTCACTACTTACAGATCGAGGGGTCCGAGTTACGTCTTTTACCGTGGGAATAACGTGTTTCCAGATCAGCCTTTGAGTAAGTCCAGTTCCATTGTCCCTGTAGTTCTGGAACAGTCTCAGTGAAGTGTCGCAGATGAACCGGTTTATAATAGATCCATGAGATGAACAGATGAAAAAAGTCGAGCCGCTTTCTTCCTCTTAGGGCCAAATAGTGCGTCACATATTTACACCCATAACACACTTCATTCAAGTTGACGTGATCCTAACACTTTTAGTTTCTGACAAAAGCATAAAAACAGCAGCTCTATGTGGTGTCCGCGAGACCAGACGCTGGACTCGGGAGCAGGAGCATGTGCGCTCTGATTCGCTGTTTTGATCCGTCAATCACCTCCCGCCGGCTTTTAATTAATTTTTTATTTTTATTATTTTTGACAAAAAACAGCATACTAATTGTGTATTGTTTACCCCGTTTTGACAAAAGTATTTAACAACTATTTTAAATACAAAGCAAACGGGGTCATGCGCGTCATCAGTGTGGTTTTCGTCACTGAAGTGGACCCGAGCGTTTCTGTGCCTCACGCTGGGGAAGGAGACAGATTGTTCTCTTACAAAAGATTGACAGAATCAATGAATAAACTACTGTGGGCTTGTGTATGAGGCCAAATAGCATTGTAATCATGTTTAAAGCAGAGAAAAGTCAAAAACCGTGATATGGGCCCTTTAATATGTAAATATTAAATAATAATAATATACTTAATCTACATGTATCAGATAAACTTGTTTTTATCTCTGTTCTCTCATGTTTTAGTTTGTAATGCTCTTAAACTCTTAAGTATTTAACATGAATACTAAATAAAAAGTATGATTTTAATAAAACATTTACAAATCCCAGTCCCTGTGTTTTTAACGACACAATTTAAATCCTTTCAGATTCAGATACATTTATTTGCCATTTGCAGTAAAACCACATTGGAAAAACTGTGCAAGACTACCCCGGTGTGCACATGGATGTATTATATTAACTGGATAGGGTGTTACTAGCTTGTAGCTGAATAACTCACGTGCTCAGGGGATTCTCGCGGTACTGCAGACTGAACCAGACTGAACCAGACTAAATTCACGTGGGCTACCCAGAAATTTTCCCCATAGAACTCAGTGCATATTAAAACAGCTCAACCTCAGCTGACAGAGAACCTGACAGAGAACCTACAGCTTTAATAAAGATCGGATTTTGTAGGGATTTTAGTGTCCCTTGTCATCCTGAACTTTTTTTCTTCTTAAATCCTTCGGTTTTGTTTAAATCCACACTTTAGTGCCACAAACTCTGCTCCTCTGGCTCTGGCTCTAACTCCCGCTCTGATGAACTGCTCTGATTGGTCAGAGCCGAGCCCCTCTGTGCACAAGCGTGAGACCCGGTGTGAGACCCACACACGCGTGTTTGGGGCAATGCATTATGGGAGATCATCCACTGCACAGAACCGGGAGGACCAGACGATGCCCAAATACAGGCGAGTTTCCCATAGATCTTTGCGAGTTTCAGGCGACTTCCGCTAATCTTTCAGCTCCCATGCCGTCACAAAGCGCCACTGAGCACAACCATTCATTTAAATAGGGCGCCATCTTGGATCGCCGGGGCTTGGGTGTGCACCAGACAGAGGACGACACACACCAGAGCTCTTGCCACGGCGCCATGCGACCGGGCAACCAGGAGCAAACATCAAGACGTTTGCTCCAAGCCAAGCCGTGTATGTAAATATTGTTTTTATATTTTTACACCTTTATCGGTTTCTTCTTTATCAGATATTTTCTCCACATGAAGGAACCCAGGTGCCGCCTCAATGTCAATCACACCACATTTCTCAAACATGTTTTAATGTGGTTGGATCCATCTTCAATCAGTCCCTGGATGAAAGCCTAGTCCCAGTTTTAAACACACTGTGGTCCTGCAGAATTTAAAGAAACCTAATTTAAGCAAGTTTGAAGTTTTTCAATTCAGATTTTATTAGCCTGGTCTTACCACACCATAGTACAAATTACAGTTGGTACTAAGGCCTGGATTGTCTCCAGTGACTCCGTGAACAGGTGGGAGGGGTTAACTTCTTTTGCAGATTGAAACATTGGATCTGAGTTTAGATTTAGCCTAGCTTTAGCATGTAGCCTAGCTATAGCCATCTCCTTTGCCGCTAACAGAGCCCGTGGGGAGTATAACCATAGACATATAAAGAGTAGACGTATCTTTATATGTCTATGAGTATAACGGCTCCAGAAATTATTGCTTGGATAAAAGGCAGACGCTCTGACTGATGTTTAGTTGACATTTATTTACAACAAAGCCACATAAAAAACCGTGAAAATCGAGACACTCTGGAGTTGTCCATATTAACTTTTGTTCAGCACGAGGTGACCTTGTCCATCCAGCGACACACAACAAATACACTATTATAAACAGATAAGATGATACAAATATACATGTGAACAAAACATTTTCACTGACAGCTACAGGGAGTAGCACCACAATCTTTGCAGCGAAATAAGTTTTTTTTAACTATTTGACTCAAAGCTGAATTGAATTAGATTCATATTTGTGAGTAACATGAACACATGGAAAACAAATTATTATCCAGCATTCACTTTAATACAAAATAACAAAATTAGCTGAATAAAATAAGTACCTTTGTTAAACAGAAACCTGTCCTGCTTGACTTCAAACTGTATAAATTATAAAAACAATAGACAGGAAGCATAACAGTCATCCTGCAATATTGCACATTTTTAGTGCAACAACAAAAGTGCAAACAAAGTTCAAAGATAACCTGTAAACGTTTGTGCCTCAAAGACCTACACTTACAGTGTAGGCTACACTTACAGTCAAACAGAAAAAACAACTTGTAAACTCTTCAGCTCAATGCCACATTATGTGATGACCTTTTTCCACCATATTTCTTCTGACCTCTTGCTGCAGTGAGTTCTTTGTCTGTGAGTGTTTAAGACAGTTGAAAATTGAGGCTAACAATGAGCTCACTTTTAATTAATTCAGTGGAACATTTATTCCGCACATCAGACCATTCTTCCAGTGGAAGATGGGATGCTGAGGACAAAGGATACAGCAGCTTGGATGTTGGGAAGGTCAGCCGTCTGAAGGACCTCCATCCACCTCTCTGCTGTTCCTTTGGACTGCCAGGTTTCCTCTTCCTGACTGAGGCGCTCCAGAAGACTGTTTGCAGTGACACGTTCTTCATACACATCATCCATGGACATGCTCAGCCTACCAGAAGAGATGAAAAGTTGTCATTTACAGTGGTAAATAAATGGGAAAAAAATACGACTGTATATAATCATGTCATGCCTCGCGTCCCTACAGAACAACAGTTTAGTTAGTTTGAACAGATTGACTAGCTTTGAACTTTGTCCCAGATATCCTATTTCATCATTAGATTCCTTCTTAAGTTAAATTGATTTATAATCCCAGTAAGATTTCTATAACAACTGTAAAGTTTATGATTATGTATTCATTTAAATCTATCAATTGTATTTGGTTATAACCATCAATAGTATTAAAACATGGTCAATCACTACACTGGCAATAGTTCCATTCTTACCTGCCAACCAGGCAAACCGTTGGATCATGTTGTCCATTTCATCAAAGGAGATCTTCCCAGATGCAAGAGAGAGGGGCTGCAGGTGGAAGAGCCAGTTTTCCTCTGAGAAATCAAACCACTTCTCAATGTAAGTGATTGAACGGTTAAGGAAGTCTGAATTCCTGCTTTGCAACCCATAGGTACCCATAAAACTGATAATCTCTTCTCTGAATTAGTCTCCTCCGGAAAGATTCCATGATGGAGAAGAGGTCAACAGATGTGGTTACATTTGTGTCCGGCTTTTTCACTACCTCTTCAAACAGGGACAGGACATTATTACAGAATAGGAGGTACACTTCAACAATGTCTGGCTCTTCCTCAACTCCAGCAGCATCTTCAGTCAACCTCAGCAATTGTTTCAGACGCTGTGGACAGCCTTCACCAATGCTGATGAGATAGGACTTCAGCGGGACCCAGTTCTGCAGTAGGCGGGTGATTGCAGGGTTGAGTGACAGCCATCTTGTTACCACATCTTGGATCTGGCAACCAAGTTTAATGTGGGTAAATAGTTGTTCAGATCCAAAAAAACATGTCTCTTTGACATTTTATTTTGATTACCTTGAGGAGCCAGGTGTGTGAAGAGAGGGAACTTTCTCACACTTGTCCTTGTCACTGTTCTCATGTCATCTCTTTTGCTTAGCGTACATCGGACTGGCACCTGAATATATCCGTCGCCTTTGAGTTGCTGCCCCGCACACATCGACAATCTGGCGGAAAACGGGCAAACTTCTAGAGTAGCAGGCTAGTCTCGGGAATAACACGCATACATCAAGCAGCAACTGGCCTCAACTACATGTGTAGTGTTTTCTGCATAAACTGTAGAGGGGTCGCAATACACGCAATACACACGTTGTTGGAGCACATCGGGTGAGATCTCTGGATACTGAGGACAACTAGTTGTCAAAAAGTACAGAACACGGGCAACTGAATGAATCCGGAGATCGACTGTTCATCTCCAGTTGTAAGGGCGCTCATATCGACCGATTTTGGCAACTGATCATCTCCATCATCTACTCTCAGTTGCCAAAAGCCGTCTTGCAACTAGTTAGGCAACGCTAGGCCCTAGACAAACTCACCAAAAATGAGCTCCAGAAGGATGACATCTGAGGAGGCTTTATCACAGATTTTGGGTTGATGATGTAGCGGAAGAGATTTCAGAAACAGAGGATTTTTCAGATACAGGAAAATGTTATTGCTGATCCAGATTGTCAATTTTCTTACGATAAGGAGGATTCAGAGGACGAATCTTTGGCCAAGTAAAGAGGAAGGGAGGAAGGAAGGAAGGTAGGAAGGAAAAAACGGAGAAAGGAAGGAAGGAAGGAAAAGAAAAGAAGGGAATAGAGGAGGATGAACAGAGAGAAGGAAAACAGGATGAGAAAAAGGAAGGAGAAAGCATGGCAGGAGGAAAGAGGGAGGGAAGAATTGTCATTTTAACCCGAGAGGAGGACAAGAAGATTAGACTAAATATTTCTTAAATATATCATTGGAATAAAAAAAAATATTGTATGTCACTTTTCTAAATATTTATATAACCTAAAATAAAGTTGTTATTGGTTTAACCTGTTTTCTTGACTGTTTTGAGTGCATTTACGCAGTACGGGTCAAAATGACCCGCAACATTATCAATGTCATTTTTTTTCAACATAATACAAGGGTTAACTTTAAAATGACTTCCATAACTTGTGATTGTATTGATTTGTCAATGTCAATGTCAAGTTTATTTATATAGCACATTTAAAATGACCAAAGTGCTTTACAAATTGGCTAAAATCATAGTAAAAACAATTAATTTAAAATTTACAACATTTGCAACAATATAAAAAGAGAGATTCAGCTCATGTTAAAAAGCCAGTGAAAAGAAATGTGTCTTAAGAAGGGATTTAAAATGGACCAGTGAATCAGCGGCTCTGACCCACGGTGGTAGATTGTTCCACAGAGAAGGCCTGGTCCCCTCCACTCTTCTTCTTGTCATGACTTCACTTCTAACTCAAGTGGACGCAGCGGCCTGTGTTCTGGAGCAGAGCCATCTCCAGCACACGCCAATCACCTGAACCCTTGGGAGGAGGACCCTACCATCAGCTGAACCCTCGGGAGGAGGACCCTACCATCATCTGAACCCTCGGGAGGAGGACCCTACCATCACCTGAACCCTCGGGAGAAGGACCCTACCATCACCTGAACCCTCGGGAGGAGGACCCTACCATCACCTGAACCCTCGGGAGAAGGACCCTACCATCACCTGAACCCTCGGGAGGAGGACCCTACCATCACCTGAACCCTCGGGAGGAGGACCCTACCATCACCTGAACCCTCGGGAGGAGGACCCTACCATCAGCTGAACCCTCGGGAGGAGGACCCTACCATCATCTGAACCCTCGGGAGGAGGACCCTACCATCACCTGAACCCTCGGGAGGAGGACCCTACCATCACCTGAACCCTCGGGGAGGAGGACCCTACCATCATCTGAACCCTCGGGAGAAGGACCCTACCATCACCTGAACCCTCGGGAGGAGGACCCTACCATCACCTGAACCCTCGGGAGGAGGACCCTACCATCACCTGAACCCTCGGGAGGAGGACCCTACCATCACCTGAACCCTCGGGAGGAGGACCCTACCATCACCTGAACCCTCGGGAGAAGGACCCTACAATCACCTGAACCCTCGGGAGGAGGACCCTACCATCACCTGAATCCTCGGGAGGAGGACCCTACCATCACCTGAACCCTCGGGAGGAGGACCCTACCATCACCTGAACCCTCGGGAGGAGGACCCTACCATCACCTGAACCCTCGGGAGGAGGACCCTACCATCACCTGAACCCTCGGGAGGAGGACCCTACCATCACCTGAACCCTCGGGAGGAGGACCCTACCATCACCTGAACCCTCGGGAGGAGGACCCTACCATCACCTGAACCCTCGGGAGAAGGACTCTGCCAAATCTCATAAAACTCCTTCATGCGACATTAAGCTCCAGAGTAATGTACCTTGTAATTGAGCACAGCAGCCATAATGACCCAACATTGTCTCTCTGTCAAAAGAGGGTTTTGTACGATTTTATACAACTTTTGTTTGATTCAAGTCTTTGTGATCCAAGGTCACAGGAATGAATGAACTACTTATGGGCTCATCATATGTTCTAAGCCCCTCCAGTGATGACTTGACCAGGCCTAGAAACTGTAGAAACTACCAATCATTTTGTGTTTGACATGTTCGCCCATGTATTTTTCCAAATTAGCAGAAATATGGATACTTTTACAGTGTCTATGGTATTTTCTGAGTTCGACACAAAGCTCTATACTTCATTTGTTAAGTGCGCTCTCTTGGTATAGTCTCGAGATGGAGCAAGGACACACAACTTAACAGCAGCTGCAGAGATAGAGATGGAGGCCCTCAGTAAGAGCCCCTGAGAGCCCTCACCCAGAGATCCTTCATCTCTGCAAACAAACCAGTCTATTACACACTGTCTACACCAGGGGTCTCCAACCTGCAGCTCGGGAGCCACCAGTAGCTCGCCAGCCCCTTACAGGTAGCTCGCCAAAGGAATTAGAATTTAACAAATACATTTAGACGAACACTTTTTGACCCATTACACATCGATTATAAGTATAAATATAGGGTTATAGTAGAATGGTATCTTTTATTTGTGTTTATTAGATAGATTTTTATTACGAGTTCAAAAAGGAGTAGCTCTCTGCCTGTTTGTTTGTATAAAAGTATCTCTTCGATTAAAAAACTTGGAGACCCCTGGCCTATACACAACCATTTTGTTAACCTTTTGTTTTGTTATACTATAAAATCTTATGAGCCTGCCTTTTCAGCCAATCAACATTGTAGTGGCAACAATCTTGAAAGATTTAAACCTTTTTTAGATTTAGACTACTAAGCGTTCATTCTGCTCTAGTCTGGGCTTTCCTTTGTATTCATGAGGCATGCTAACTTCTGTTCAGAGAGGCCAGGTCACTCAGACTTAACACTGTATAACTCCATCAGAGACAAAGAAGAAAAGCCAATGTCAACGCTCAAATACATTTATTCAGCCCTCAGTGGAGCCTAACCCGCTCACACCTCAAAGAACACCTAATAAAGCCAAAGTGTTCAGAGCCAAGTGACCCAGCTCAGCTCAGACTGGACAGTGCACTTGTTTTGTGTTTTGGGACCAAGCCGACGGGTGTCTGCAGCAAAGTCACCCAGACCTGAAGACACACGGCTCAGGTAGAGTTTGGAGGTTATACTCACACAACACTGTCAACATCATTCTGTTTCTGCTCAACAAACAAGTCCACATGTGTTCACAAAGAAAACAAACACAGTGTATTATGTTGTTATTATTGTGAGTCCTCTGTTGATGTGTAATGCAGGCAGAAAATACAAATGGTGGTAAACAGCGTATGTATTTATATGTATGCACAGTCATTCTGAGAAAAATGGCAGTAAGAAGTGAGTTTGTATTTATGAATGCATCCATGTGAATAATATCTGTTGATTTTCCCATCATGCAACACTATCCTCCAAAGCTCAGTGATGATGATGGAGGTAAAAAAAAGAAATGCTCCGCTGCACCATTAAGCACAAAGTCAGGATTCTTGCGGAGACTGTGTAGTTGGGGCGACAGACCGTGGGATTGACACTTGAGACGGTTTTCTTTGAGGACCCTCACTACAGAGGGCTCCAGCAGAGGGCTCCAGTGTCTCTGTGTCTCTGTGTCTGTATGTACCTGTGTCTCTGTCTATATGTACCTGTGTCTCTGTGTCTATATGTCTGTATGTACCTGTGTCTCTGTGTCTGTATGTACCTGTGTCTCTGTGTCTGTATGTACCTGTGTCTCTGTGTCTGTATGTACCTGTGTCTCTGTGTCTATATGTACCTGTGTCTCTGTGTCTGTATGTACCTGTGTCTCTGTGTCTATATGTACCTGTGTCTCTGTGTCTATATGTACCTGTGTCTCTGTCTATATGTACCTGTGTCTCTGTGTCTGTATGTACCTGTGTCTCTGTGTCTGTATGTACCTGTGTCTCTGTCTATATGTACCTGTGTCTCTGTGTCTATATGTACCTGTGTCTCTGTGTCTGTATGTACCTGTGTCTCTGTGTCTGTATGTACCTGTGTCTCTGTGTCTATATGTACCTGTGTCTCTGTGTCTATATGTACCTGTGTCTCTGTGTGTATATGTACCTGTGTCTCTGTGTCTATATGTACCTGTGTCTCTGTGTCTGTATATACCTGTGTCTCTGTCTATATGTACCTGTGTCTCTGTGTCTATATGTACCTGTGTCTCTGTGTCTATATGTACCTGTGTCTCTGTGTCTATATGTACCTGTGTCTCTGTGTCTATATGTACCTGTGTCTCTGTGTCTATATGTACCTGTGTCTCTGTCTATATGTACCTGTGTCTCTGTGTCTGTATGTAAGTTTTTAGTAAGTTTTTATTTATATACCGCATTTTCACTGCAGATCTGAGTCTCAAAGCGGTTTACAATTTTTAATTATGGGCATTTGTCTCTCACTACACACAGAGAGGGGAGCGGGGTCGCCAGTACAAGAGGCGCATGCCAGACCTATTGGACATATTTTTAGTGGTAGGGGAAACCGGAGTACCCGGAGGAAACCTACGCAGACACGGGGAGAACATGCAAACTCCAGGGCCTCCAGAAAGGCCCTGGTCCGACCGGGATTCGAACCCAGGACCTTCTTGCTGAGAGGCGAGAGTGCTATCCACTCAGCCACCGTGCCGCCCTGTGTACCTGTGTCTCTGTGTCTATATGTACCTGTGTCTCTGTCTATATGTACCTGTGTCTCTGTCTATATGTACCTGTGTCTCTGTGTCTATATGTACCTGTGTCTCTGTGTCTATATGTACCTGTGTCTCTGTGTCTGTATGTACCTGTGTCTCTGTCTATATGTACCTGTGTCTCTGTGTCTATATGTACCTCTGTGTCTGTAGGTACCTGTGTCTCTGTCTATATGTACCTGTGTCTCTGTGTCTATATGTACCTGTGTCTCTGTCTATATGTACCTGTGTCTCTGTGTCTGTATGTACCTGTGTCTGTGTGTCTATATGTACCTGTGTCTGTGTGTCTATATGTACCTGTGTCTCTGTCTATATGTACCTGTGTCTCTGTGTCTGTATGTACCTGTGTCTGTGTGTCTATATGTACCTGTGTCTCTGTCTATATGTACCTGTGTCTCTGTCTATATGTACCTGTGTCTCTGTGTCTGTATGTACCTGTGTCTCTGTGTCTATATGTACCTGTGTCTCTGTGTCTGTATGTACCTGTGTCTCTGTGTCTATATGTACCTGTGTCTCTGTGTCTGTATGTACCTGTGTCTCTGTGTCTATATGTACCTGTGTCTCTGTGTCTGTATGTACCTGTGTCTCTGTGTCTGTATGTACCTGTGTCTCTGTCTATATGTACCTGTGTCTCTGTCTATATGTACCTGTGTCTATATGTACCTGTGTCTATATGTACCTGTGTCTCTGTGTCTGTATGTACCTGTGTCTGTATGTACCTGTGTCTCTGTCTATATGTACATGTGTCCCGTTTCCATGACAACAGCAGCATCTCTCTGCTCCGGTCCAAGGCGACTCAGGCTCATCATGAACACTACTGCAGGTTATTATGGAAACACAATCAATGATCTACAGTGAGACCCTCCCCCTCCCTCTCTCCCCCTCTCACCCCTTCTCTCCCTCTCTCTCACCCCCTCTCTCATCCCCTCTATCCCCCCTCTCACCCCTTCTCTCCCTCTCTCTCACCCCCTCTCTCATCCCCTCTATCCCCCCTCTCACCCCTTCTCTCCCTCTCTCTCACCCCCTCTCTCATCCCCTCTCTCCCCCCTCTCACCCCTTCTCTCCCTCTCTCTCACCCCCTCTCTCATCCCCTCTCTCCCCCTCTCACCACCCTTCTCTCCCTCTCTCTCACCCCCTCTCTCATCCCCTCTATCCCCCCTCTCACCCCCCTCTCTCCCCCCCCCCGCCCCCGACCTCATGTGGGGGAAGACCATAGATCTCTGGGTAATACTGAGACTCCATCCAAGATTATACAGTATTTTACATTCACTGAAGTTAGAGATTTGAGACTTAGTAGCGCCACCTGCAGGTGAAAGCTAGATCCTGTCACACCTCTGAAGCCAAGCAGGGCAGGGCCAGGTTAGTGCTGTGATGGGAGACCTCTGGGAACAGCAGGTGCCACAGTGGGGCGGCTGCGGCTGTAAAGTGCCAAACTTCTGTTGTGTCCTTAGGCAAGACACTTCACCCACATTAGAATGAGTCTGGTGTGTGTGTGAATGGTTGGTGGGGGTACAACATGAAATGAGTACCATGGTATGGTTAGACCAGGCTACCAAAGCCCTGTGGTTCCTGGATCCGAAAACCCTTTTGTGCCAGAAACAGGATGTATCGTGGTGGTTCTGGAGAGACTCGAACAGACAGAACAGAGGTTTCACTAGAACCGTACTTTGGTTAACAATAAACTGGATAAATGAGAACAGACAGATCTGAAGACAATATGTGCGACATGACATTACTGCTGCTGTACAAGAAATGTGGCTAAGATTAAGACCTGGGAAATGACCAGAGAGGGGGGAGAAGGTCTGGGGCGAGGCGGAGATCGGGAGGAGGAGGGTTGCTGCATGTATGAAAGCTGCGGCCTGCTAGGAGAGGGCAGTGTAGCTGAGTGTGATTGACAGATGGGGAGAACTGAGCTAAGTTCTTCCAGTCTGAAAGTCTGCTCCACGCCTCACCCACTGATGCTGAAGCTATTGCTCTGTTCATCGGTGTAAAAAGTCTGCTCTGTGACAATCAACGAACACTACAGTCTCAGCCTCACTACGAACTCACAAACTGAGAATCACTCAGATCCAGGTGCTCTGTGTGTCTCGACAAACCTCCGTCACTTTCAGACTCCGATTATTTGCCATTTGCAGTAAAACCACATTGGAATAACTGTGTGAGAGCCCCCAGTGTGCGTCAGACAGAGCACAGAGTGCAGCCCTCTCCCTGCTCTGCTCCAGCACTTTGAGGAGGCCCAGCACTTTGAGGAGGCCCAGCACTTTGAGGAGGCCCAGCACTTTGAGGAGGCACAGCACTTTGAGGAGGCCCAGCACTTTGAGGAGGCCCAGCACTTTGAGGAGGCCCAGCACTTTGAGGAGGCACAGCACTTTGAGGAGGCACAGCAGTTTCCCAGTTTAATGGAACATCCCTGATGATAAAAAGGATGAAGATGGACAGAGTTGTGTTTTGCCGTTGCTCAGTTATTGTAGTGTTGTTAATTCTGGATCAGCCACAGCTCATCCAGCCTCATTATCTGGCACAGGCAATTACCCACAATGCACCTCGGGCTCGTTTGGCCGATCCTGCCGTTTAAGCCTCACCACACGCTACGCTAATAAATTATACACGGCGGCTAATGGCAGCTGCTCCGCGGACACCTCTGGAGAGCGCTTTTATCACAGACAAGCCGCCATTGTTGAGATCTCAGCCCCATTAGGATTCAGAGACCAGGGCTTCCCAACTGGGGGTACACGGACCGGAGACCAGGGACCAGGGACCAGAGACCAAGGAGCAGAGACCAGTGCTTCCCAACCGGGGGTGCAGGGACCAGAGACCAGGGACCAGGGACCAGAGACCAAGGATCAGAGACTAGAATCCAGTGACCAGAGACTAGAGTCCAAGGACCAGGGCTTCCCAACCAGGGGTACGTAGACCAGAGTCCAGGGACCAGAGACTAGATGCCAGGGACCAGAAACTAGAGACCAGAGTCCAGGGACTTGGTCATGGCTTGGGTGTGACTTTCTGTTCACCTCTGACCACCTCTGACCACCTCTGACCACCTCTGACCACCTCTGACCACTCACTGACCACCTCTGACCACCTCTGACCACCTCTGACCACTCACTGACCACCTCTGACCACCTCTGACCACCTCTGACCACTCACTGACCACTCACTGACCACCTCTGACCACACACTGACCAACTAGATTCTCCAACGGGACAAAGTCTGATCAAGAACTGTTCTTTTTTCTCTCATTCCAAAGGAGACATTTGAGTGTCTTTTTGATGGTTGTGTGTGTTGTGTGTGTTGTGTGTGTTGTGTGTGTTGTGTTGTGTGTGTTGTGTATTGTGTGTTGTGCCATCGGAGAATCTGGCTCTGAGGCAGGTTGTGTTGGATTAAAAAACATTTGATCTAATTTTTCACTTTTTGCAGTAAATCAAACAAACAGCAGCAGAGTCAGAACACTCACCCACGTAGATGCAGTTCACGGAGAGGAAGTGGCTGCAGCGCCCGCCATCACAGCGCCCCCTGCTGTCTGTAGGCCTGTCCTGGGGCTGCAGGGACCTGTCCTGGGACTGCAGGGACCTGTCCTGGGACTGCAGGGACCTGTCCTGGGACTGCATGGACCTGTCCTGGGACTGCATGGACCTGTCCTGGGACTGCATGGACCTGTCCTGGGGCTGCATGGACCTGTCCTGGGACTGCATGGACCTGTCCTGGGACTGCAGGGACCTGTCCTGGGACTGCATGGACCTGTCCTGGGACTGCAGGGACCTGTCCTGGGACTGCAGGGACCTGTCCTGGGACTGCATGGACCTGTCCTGGGGCTGCATGGACCTGTCCTGGGACTGCATGGACCTGTCCTGGGACTGCATGGACCTGTCCTGGGACTGCATGGACCTGTCCTGGGACTGCATGGACCTGTCCTGGGACTGCATGGACCTGTCCTGGGACTGCATGGACCTGTCCTGGGGCTGCATGGACCTGTCCTGGGACTGCATGGACCTGTCCTGGGACTGCAGGGACCTGTCCTGGGACTGCATGGACCTGTCCTGGGACTGCAGGGACCTGTCCTGGGACTGCAGGGACCTGTCCTGGGACTGCATGGACCTGTCCTGGGGCTGCATGGACCTGTCCTGGGACTGCATGGACCTGTCCTGGGGCTGCATGGACCTGTCCTGGGACTGCATGGACCTGTCCTGGGGCTGCAGGGACCTGTCCTGGGACTGCATGGACCTGTCCTGGGACTGCAGGGACCTGTCCTGGGACTGCAGGGACCTGTCCTGGGACTGCATGGACCTGTCCTGGGACTGCAGGGACCTGTCCTGGGACTGCATGGACCTGTCCTGGGACTGCAGGGACCTGTCCTGGGACTGCATGGACCTGTCCTGGGGCTGCAGGGACCTGTCTGTGTGAGGTCCTCCTTTCTTGACAGATGGATCCAGGTCCAGGTCCAGGTCCAGGTCCAGGTCCAGGTTGGGTTAAAGTTCAGGGAGTCGTTTTACTTCCACATCACTGACAGTATTTAGGTCAGTTCTGATTCAAAAACAATCGAAATCGTGTCGTTGGACGTAGAGCCTGAAAATGAGGTTGCGATGCCAACAGTGTCGGTCCCCGTGTCCCACCTCCACACGTCTGGTCCAGCAGCTCTGACATCACTCTGACATCACTCTGACATCACTCTGACATCACTCTGACATCACTCTGACATCACTCTGACATCACTCTGACATCACTCTGACATCACTCTGACATCACGCTGACATCACTCTGACATCACGCTGATCTTCATGGACGGTCTTTGGTTCAGAATCTTCTCTTTGTTGAGATCGAAGTAAAAAGTTCAAGCACAAATATCTCCAGTGGTCTTCAGTGCGACGTCTCTGGGAATCTATAGAGAGAGAGGGAGGAGGGGAGGGAGGGAGGGAGAGAGAGGGAGGAGGGGAGGGAGGGAGAGAGAGAGAGGGAGGAGGGGAGGGAGGGAGAGGGGGGGGGAGGCTCATGAGACTTCACATGGTCTGGACATTAACACACACACTGTAAAACTAAACAGGAAACACATTCATGCTCAAGGAAGATGATGCAGTGTTGTTGTTTGCACAGGGACTGGCCTCCTGCTGGGACTCTGAGGAGCACAGGGACTGGCTCCTGCTGGGACTCTGAGGAGCACAGGGACTTGACTCCTGCTGGGACTCTGAGGAGCACAGGGACTGGACTCCTGCTGGGACTCTGAGGAGCACAGGGACTGGACTCCTGCTGGGACTCTGAGGAGCACAGGGACTGGCCTCCTGCTGGGACTCTGAGGAGCACAGGGACTGGACTCCTGCTGGGACTCTGAGGAGCACAGGGACTGGACTCCTGCTGGGACTCTGAGGAGCACAGGGACTGGACTCCTGCTGGGACTCTGAGGAGCACAGGGACTGGACTCCTGCTGGGACTCTGAGGAGCACAGGGACTGGCCTCCTGCTGGGACTCTGACTTAATGGCTCTGTGGCTTTGTGTATGAACTGTGCTATACATATAAACTTGGCTCATTCATAACCAAGGTCACGCTTCAGTGCAGCCCTCACATCTGTTATGTTTTCTACATGGTCTGAATGACATCGACATGACTACAAACCCACACCATGTGGGTCAGGGTTAGGGTACACTAATTACCATGAATTAGGGTACCAGATCCCCATGAAAGACAGATCCTGCCAGACCTCTGAAGCCAAGCAGGGCAGGGCCTGGTTAGTACTGTGATGGGAGACCTCTGGGAACAGCTGGTGCCACAGTGGGGCGGCTGCGGCTGTAAAGTGCCAGACACTTCCCCCACAATCTAGTGTGTGTGTGAGTGGTTCGTGGTGGGAGGGGCCTTCTGTCAGTGTGTCCCAGGGCAGCTGTGGCTACAGCAGCAGTTTATGGAGTGAATGAATAATGATTTGAAGCGCTGCATAAACAGATGTGTTATTATTAAACCAGCTCCTTCTATAAGACTTTGAAACAGCACAGCCTTTGTCCCTGTGAGTCCGGTGTTTGTCTGTCCCTGTGAGCGCGGTGTGTGTCTGTACCTGTGAGTGTGTGTCTGTCCCTGTGAGTGTGTGTCTGTAACTGTGAGTGTGTGTCCGTCCTTGTGTGTGTGTCCGTCCCTGTGTGTGTGTCCGTCCCTGTGCGTGTGTGTCTGTACCTGTGCGTGTGTGTCTGTACCTGTGCGTGTGTGTCTGTACCTGTGAGTGTGTGTCTGTCCCTGTGAGTGTGTGTCTGTCCCTGTGTGTGTGTGTCTGTCCCTGTGTGTGTGTGTCTATACCTGTGAGCGTGTGTCTGTACCTGCGTGCGTGTGTCTGTACCTGCGTGTGTGTGTCCGTCCCTGTGTGTGTGTCCGTCCCTGTGCGTGTGTGTCTGTACCTGTGAGTGTGTGTCTGTCCCTGTGTGTGTGTGTCTGTCCCTGTGTGTGTGTGTCTGTCCCTGTGTGTGTGTGTCTATACCTGTGAGCGTGTGTCTGTACCTGCGTGTGTGTGTCTGTACCTGCGTGTGTGTGTCTGTACCTGCGTGTGTGTGTCTGCACCTGTGTGTGTGTTTTGCAGTGCAGCCCAGACCCTGTGTCTACCTCAGGTCCATCAGCTCTTTACACTACACTATCTTTACACTCTGTTAAAGGGCCCTAATCTGTCATCATTAAAGGGCCCTAATCTGTCATCATTAAAGGGCCCTAATCTGTCATCATTAAAGGGCCCTAATCTGTCATCATTAAAGGGCCCTAATCGGTCATCATTAAAGGGCTCTAATCTGTCATCATTAAAGGGCCCTAATCTATCATCATGAAAGGGCCCTAATCTGTCATCATTAAAAGGCCCTAATCTGTCATCATTAAAGGGCCCTAATCTGTCATCATTAAAGGGCCCTAATCTGTCATCATTAAAGGGCTCTAATCTGTCATCATTAAAGGGCCCTAATCTATCATCATGAAAGGGCCCTAATCTGTCATCATTAAAAGGCCCTAATCTGTCATCATTAAAGGGCCCTAATCTGTCATCATGAAAGGGCCCTAATCTGTCATCATTAAAGGGCCCTAATCTGTCATCATTAAAGGGATCTAATCCGTCATCATTAAAGGGCCCTAATTTATCATCATTAAAGGGCCCTAATCTGTAATCATTAAACGGCCCTAATCTATCATCATGAAAGGGCCCTAATCTATCATCATTAAAGGGCACTAATCTGTCATCATTAAAGGGCCCTAATCTATCATCATTAAAGGGCACTAATCTGTCATCATTAAAGGGCCCTAATCTGTCATCATTAAAGGGCTCTAATCTGTCATCAATAAAGGGCTCTAATCTGTCATTATTAAAGGGCCCTAATCTGTCATCATTAAAGGGCTCTAATCCGTCATCATTAAAGGGCCCTAATTTATCATCATTAAAGGGCCCTAATCTGTCATCATTAAAGGCCCTAATATGTCATCATTAAAGGACCCTAATCTGTCATCATTAAAAGGCCCTAAATCTATCATCATGAAAGGGCCCTAATCTGTCATCATTAAAGGGCCCTAATCTGTCATCATTAAAGGGCACTAATCTATCATAATTAAAGGGCACTAATCTGTCATCATTAAAGGGCTCTAATCTGTCATCATTAAAGGGCCCTAATCTGTCATCATTAAAGGGCTCTAATCTGTCATCAATAAAGGGCTCTAATCTGTCATTATTAAAGGGCCCTAATCTGTCATCATTAAAGGGCTCTAATCCGTCATCATTAAAGGGCCCTAATTTATCATCATTAAAGGGCCCTAATCTGTCATCATTAAAGGCCCTAATATGTCATCATTAAAGGACCCTAATCTGTCATCATTAAAAGGCCCTAAATCTATCATCATGAAAGGGCCCTAATCTGTCATCATTAAAGGGCCCTAATCTGTCATCATTAAAGGGCACTAATCTATCATAATTAAAGGGCCCTAATCTGTCATCATTAAAAGGCCCTAATCTGTCATCATTAAAGGGCCCTAATCTGTTATCATTAAAGGGCCCTAATCTGTCATCTGTCTATATGTACCTGTACCTGTGTATATATGTACCTGTACCTGTGTCTACATGTACCTGTGTCTGTGTCTATATGTACCTGTGTCTCTGTATCTATATGTACCTGTGTGTCTGTGTCTATATGTACCTGTGTACCTGTGTCTATATGTACCTGTGTACCTGTGTCTCTGTGTCTATATGTACCTGTGTCTCTGTGTCTATATGTACCTGTGTCTCTCTGTGTCTATATGTACCTGTGTCTCTGTGTCTATATGTACCTGTGTCTCTCTGTGTCTATATGTACCTGTGTCTCTGTGTCTATATGTACCTGTGTTTCTGTGTCTATATGTACCTGTGTCTCTGTGTCTATATGTACCTGTGTCTCTGTGTGTCTATATGTACCTATGTATCTGTGTCTATATGTACCTGTGTCTCTGTGTCTATATGTACCTGTGTTTCTGTGTCTATATGTACCTGTGTCTCTGTGTCTATATGTACCTGTGTCTCTCTGTGTCTATATGTACCTATGTATCTGTGTCTATATGTACCTGTGTCTCTGTGTCTATATGTACCTGTGTCTCTGTGTCTATATGTACCTGTGTCTCTGTGTCTACATGTACCTGTGTCTCTGTGTCTATATGTACCTGTGTCTATATGTACCTGTGTCTATATGTACCTGTGTCTCTGTGTCTATATGTACCTGTGTCTATATGTACCTGTGTCTATATGTACCTGTGTCTCTGTGTCTATATGTACCTGTGTCTCTCTGTGTCTATGTGTACCTGTGTCTCTGTGTCTATATGTACCTGTGTCTATATGTACCTGTGTCTATATGTACCTGTGTCTCTGTGTCTATATGTACCTGTGTCTCTGTGTCTATATGTACCTGTGTCTGTGTGTCTATATGTACCTGTGTCTGTGTGTCTATATGTACCTGTGTCTCTGTGTCTATATGTACCTGTGTCTCTCTGTGTCTATATGTACCTGTGTCTCTGTGTCTATATGTACCTGTGTCTGTGTCTATATGTACCTGTGTCTCTGTGTCTATATGTACCTGTGTCTCTGTGTCTATATGTACCTGTGTCTCTGTGTCTATATGTACCTGTGTACCTGTGTTTATATGTACCTGTGTCTCTCTGTGTCTATATGTACCTGTGTCTATATGTACCTGTGTCTATATGTACCTGTGTCTATATGTACCTGTGTCTCTGTGTTTATATGTACCTGTGTCTCTGTGTCTATATGTACCTGTGTCTCTGTCTATATGTACCTGTGTCTCTGTCTATATGTACCTGTGTCTATATGTACCTGTGTCTATATGTACCTGTGTCTCTGTGTCTGTATGTACCTGTGTCTGTATGTACCTGTGTCTCTGTCTATATGTACATGTGTCTCTGTGTCTATATGTACCTG